GTGTGTGTGTGTGTGTGTGTGTGTGTGAGAGAGAGAGAGAGAGAGAGAGAAAGTGTGTGTGTGTGTGTGTGTGTGAGAGAGAGAGAGAGACCCAGGCCTCACCTGGCAAAGAACGGGGAGAGCCTCCTGCCCAAGGAAATTGCTGGGTGTTTCCCTCCTAGATCTCACAATTGTAGGGATCCCACGCACACACACACACACTCACACACTCGCACCAGTGACACACACACACACACTCGCACACACACACCAGTCCTTTAAATCTCAGTGACCCAGTTCATGAAGGCAGGGGACCACCCGGCGCTCCTGGTTCGAGGCGCAGTGGAGGTCCAGGCGCAGGTGGTCCTCCCCCGGAGGCCACCTAGGATGCTGCCCTTCAGGCTTTTTAAGCATTCAGAATGGCTTTCTCCCCCAACCGACCGACTCCAATGGATGTTGGCGCTCTGGAGGTCGGCAAAGGGCCACAGGGCTGATGGAAGTGGGGCTCCCGCCCGTGGACGTCCCTGCCAGCCTTCCCTAATCTGGGGTGTCCTTTTCCCACCCCCACCCCCCACCGGTGGCCTTCATCCCCGTCGCTTCCCACAACCGCCAGACAGGATGGGCATCCGAAACGGGGGGCAAGCCTTTTCGGCCACCTGCGTCCCTTCTGTGCCTCCTCACAACGCCCACCCGTGATGCCATGGGACGAGGAAGGCGTCAACCTCCTCTTTTTTTGTGTGTCGAGATTTTAAAACACAAATTTAGCTAATAAAAAGTGGTCGCAGGACTGCAACGGGGGACAGCTGGGAAACGTCCCGGTTTGGAGAAAGGAGGCCTGATTTCCGGACTCTGCGCAGTTGACCTGACGAGTCCCTTTACAAGGTCTTGCTTCGCATCACGAAGGAAGCCGCTACACTAAGTTTAGATGGGCAGTTCCTCCAACGGACGTGTTCGGCCCACGGTCACCATCTTGGCCTCCTCGGGAGTGCCTCCGTCAAAGTAGAAGAAGACGTAAAAACGGTAGATCTGAATTAGATGCTACGAGGTCTCTCTGGCTGTGGAGCAAGAGGTTGGGAGTTCGATTCCCACCTCTGCCTTCCTTGATGGGTCCCTTCCATCTCTGCCGTTCTGTTATTCTTATTCAAAAAACACCAGACACATTCAATCAAAATTATAAAAAACATCGACTGGTATTACAGAACAGATACAAGTTTTAACCAAAAACCGAAGTATCTGTTCAGTATGGGTGCAGTGTGTATGCTATTCCTAATATTGCTGTTTTTAATAATAATAATAATCATAATAAATATAATTGTTGTTATTATTTTTAAGCAGGGCAGATTTTAGCGTCTAAATACCCAGCCTTTGAACATGTTGGCTGGAACTGATGTGAACTGGAGTCTGTTGATACCTGGAAGGCCACATCCACCCATCCTGCCTTCAAAATATTTTTACCCTTCCTTTCTCCCTTGAAAGCACCCAGGACAGCTCACGTAATTAAATAAGACAATATGGAAGGCGAAGAAGAATCAGTTATTCAAATATTTTTTTAAAAAGAATTAAATACACATTATATTAAAATATTATATTTGATAAAAGCGATTACGACAACAGGTTTTAAAAGACACATAAATGCATACCTACAAAGCTTTAATTCTGCAATAAATGCATGTTTAAATCTAATGCTTCGGATTCTTTCTCTTTCTATTTTTCTCTGACTGATCCAGCATGCACAGAGATGCAAGGGGAGATGCAATCCTTCCTCTCCCCAGAAATTGCCATATGCTGCAAAAGAGACTGAACTACATAATCCATTTTTAGTCCATTCCATTGTTGGTTTTATGTTCCACATCTGTAATCTCCTTTGTTTCATTGGTGCTTGAACAATGCTGCTACTCTAAAATATTAACTGTATTCTGTCGTCAGAGTGTATGCAAACCAGCTGTTTGTACCATCAGGGGCTGTTAAATTCCAGAGCTTATCAGATCCGGGAAGAAAAACAACTGCAGGGGAAATAAAGCTGATGAAGACCTCTTTCAACATGTGGAAAACCCCCACACCCATGCGACCCTGCGAAGTTCCCTCCAAAACATCAACTCTACCTGTGAAAAACACCACCCTATAACAAGATTATGCTAAATGAAACGTGTTAGGGTGCAGACAGACAGGGCAATAACTCACATTTTGGACCACTTCTGTTACGGTCTGGTGGAAACTATTTCCCAGTGATTGCACGATAGACAGGAGATCGCGAATCAGCCCGGCCCTCTTCCATCCCCAATCTGGACCTTTTGGGTCCAGCGGAAGAACTGCTTTTTTTCAGGAGCCAAGCAAAACCGATTCGTGGACAGACAGAAGAATCAATGTACGGGATGACCAGCAAAGCCACCTTTTCCAGGACAATCAGATTTTATCCTTGCCGGATCAGACTCAAAGAGTCCTAAGCGTGCTACAACCTTATCTACGTACTGTTTATCCTTCAGCACATTCACACGCCTACCCTTCCACCAGAAAACTCCTCTTCCTCACTCGGTTTTGCAGCCCCTCGCTAAGATTTCCCAGAGACTGAAATTATCCCTTTTTTAAAAACATGTCCACGTACATCTGACCCTGCCCGACTGTACGTCCCAAAGACACTGAGCCTTTTTTTTTGTTTTAAAAACAATCTTTAATGAGCTAACATTCTTGCTGAACTGATGTTGACGGGGAGGAGGGAGAGAAGACAGGACAACTGGAACCCATAAGAGGTTTGATTCAAAAGCCTTTTATGAACCATGCCTGTGTGTAAGGGATTAGAAGGTCCTAAGGTTCATAAACATGGTGGGCAGGAAGAAGAGGGTGTAAGCATATCCTGCGGGGAGGGGCTTCTGGCCTACCCCGCATCTCGCCAGCCCTGTGCAGGTGGTGCAAACTGACACACACACACCCCAAAAGTGAATGAACAGACCAGCTAACAGCCTCTAATACTTGGTGCTGAAGGCTTGGAACTCCAGACCGGTGATCTCTCTTTCGTTCGAGAACACAGTGCGGTCGATCCGTGACATGGGGCTTCCTACAGTACGTAGCCAGTTCTTCCTGCAGAAGAAAGAAGCATGGGTCAGCAACGTCAGCCTGACTGCCCTCCTTCCCCCTTCGGATCCCTCTTACGGCCTGCATCGTCACAGCAAGAACACGGCTTTTCCCTTAACCGCAGATAAACGCACACACATTTTACAGGAAGGCTGGACATCCTCCGGCCATCCACCCTAAATTCCTCCCAATTCTAAAGTGATGGCTGGTTACAGTTTTATTCCTGAAAGTAAAATGTTAGTGATATATTTCGGACTGGCCAAAAATCCTCCCGGTGCGACCTAAGGCTTGTGTAACTCACTTAATGGCCAGTGCGACTTAGACACAGAACGCTGTTACCTTCCCACCGAGGTGGTCCCTATTTATCTACTCGCATTTGCATGCTTTCGAACCGCTAGGTTGGCGGGAGCTGGGACAAGCGACGGGCGCTCACTCCGTCACGTGGATTCGATCTTACGACTGCTTGGTCTTCTGACCCTGCAGCACAGGCTTCTGTGGTTTAGCCCGCAGCGCCACCACGTCCCTCTCTTCCTCAATGGCGGTGAATAATGAAATCCACACCACATTGTGTGACAGAAGCTGCAGAAGGGGTCGTGGCAAAAAAGGCACGGCAGAACAAATGGACTCCAGATGTCTCAAAGAAGTGAGCCATGCTACAGACAGAAAGGGACACAGAAGTCACTACCCACCCCGGTGGGGGGGGGAATAAATTCCTCCCAATTCTAAAGTGACGGCTGGTTACAGTTTTATTCCTGAAAGTAAAATGTTAGTGATATATTTCGGACTGGCCAAAAATCCTCCCGGTGCGACCTAAGGCTTGTGTAACTCACTTAAGCTAATTGCAGCTAATTGACAGGGTGCTGGATGGCATCTTAGTTGTGCAGTTGGGCACACAAGCAGGCACACAACCGAAACACGCTCAGTGATCAGCCCCAATTGGCTGGGGCAATGGACGCAGCTCTTATGACAAAGCTAATACTGCTATGTTATTATCGTGTGTGTTCTGTGTCATCAAGTTGAAGTAAGTAAGATATTTAAGGAGTGGTTTTACCAGTCCCAGTGAGTTCCCATGGCTGAGCAGGGATTCAAACCCTGTTCTCCAGAGTCCTAGACTGTCACTCTATCCACTGCACCACGCCGGGAATGTTATTTACGAATCTTGCAAAACACTTTTGAGGACCGTTCTTGCAGAAAAGCTGTCTACCCTCATTCCACCTATGCGATTAAGTATTAGAATACATGATTTAAACTGGGCCTCGATGTACTTTTGCAATTCAAGATGAAAAAAAGACTTGCGTGCTACAGAGATTGGAGTGTTAGATTTTAAGACCGGAGTGAGTCCGTTTTGAACCCCGTAATGAGCAGTGGCATAATTCCTTGGTAGGAAAAACCAGGGTATAAATTTAATGCATTAAAAAAAAATACAGCCTCCACTTGATAGCACTTGTCTTTAAGGAACAACTGGAAGGATAACAGTGTTGTGGGGTTTTTTGTAGCACATCTTGGGGCACATGGAAGCTCGAAGCAGCAGCTATTATGACGTAAAGTTCCAGGGACTGCCTCCACCCCCACCCCCGGTTGAAATTAACTTTGGCCCTAGCAGTATATGTCATCATAGATACTATCAGTGGTTAAGGTGCAAGGAGAGTCTCGTTTCCTTTGCAAGGGCAAAAGCTTCGAGCCACCAAGCCTGGAACAGAAAATAACCGTGGTAGTCATTTTTGACATTTTGACATTTCTCTTTTTTTTTTTAAACCAAAGGCTAGGATCTTTCCTGCTGCCGTTAAGACCATTCAAGAAAGTCCCTTTTTATTTAAAAAAAAAAGCCACAAATGAAGCCGTCACTGATATAGGAACACAACGTTTTAACAGCTGGTGTTCCAGTTTTTTAAAAACAACAACAACCCCAATGGGGTAGGGAATGGGGGGGAAACAGAAGACTGTTCATGGGGGGGGGAAATACTAGTTGCTATGGATTATCTCCTGCTCACAAAGAGAAGGGATGGAGTAGTGCAGCTCCCATTTCCTCTTTCATCCCCCTCAAAGATGGGAAGGTGGCGGAGACAGGTTGCTATGGAAACTGCCCCAGTTTCCTCGCCTGTTCTCTCCGCTTCTCTGTGTATCTTGAAGGTGATGGAAAGGGGGGGAAGGATTTGTTGCTATAGAAACAGCCTCTGGTTGTCGGCTCCGTGAAGGTGACGGAAGCCCCCCCCCGTGTTGCAGGAGACTCCTCACCAGAAACCCACCCACCCCACCACCCCTTGGGGACCCCCATCCGCAGCCCCTGCTATCGCCCACAAATTCATAAAAGCAATTTTCTTCCTCTCCTCCTGGACCAGCTGTCTAATTGCAAGCTGACCCGAGTTCCAGATTTACCGGGTGTCAATCCACCGAGACGAGGGAGATGCCCTAGTTTAGAGGTTTCCGGTGGACGGGTGGGGTGGGGGGCGAAGTGGAAAAGAAGGTTTTGCAAATTGCTAGCACAGGGTGTTGTGGTTTTTTTAAGATCACGAGTGTAGAAAAGAGTTTTTCCATTATTGTGTTTCTTTAAAAAAACAACAGCTTTGATTTATGAAGGTGGAGTATTGTGTACTTCTGTAGCCATGCTTCAAAACGCCGGGAAATGGTCTGATATGGCTGCACAGCATCATGCCCACATGGCCAGCAGGGAAAAAAAAAAGGATACCAAGCTTTACACAGCACCCTGGATGCTGACGACACCGTCTGCAGTCAAGATGGTCTACACACCACAGGATCCCCTCTTGTGCTCACTGCCGTTTTGATTATTTTGTGGCTCCAAGCTATAGAAGAGACCCTAGCAAACTTCTCGAAAAACAGCCCTGCCAATTTGCTTGGGGTCTGAGTGGTTCACGGATGAAGAAACAGAGTCAGATTCCGAGATTTTCCCTTCTGGGTTTCTCTTTGTCAAGGATAGAAGAGTTCTACTTTAAAAAAAAAATCATATCTCGAAAACCTTTTGCCCGAGCATGCCCAAAGGTGGCACAGAGCTAAGGCAGGGTGTCTGATACAGCTATGGCAAACTTGGTGCTGCTCCAAAAAAGTTATGATTTTTTTGTTTGTTTGTTTGTTTGGGCGGCCTCCATTTTTAGAACGGGTGCGTAGAATATTGTTGTTGGGTTTTTTTTCTCCGCCAGGACAAAATGATGCAGCAATACTAACAAGTTATAGCTTACCTTCCAATCTTTTAAAAATATTGCAGATGTAAACTGAGGGGTGTATGTGTGTGCTGCTTTTGTGTTGCCTTCTTGTTTTTAGGAAAACAAGAAGGCAATCAATCGCTCACTCATCCTGCCCTTCTCAGTGTTTCAGACCACCCTGTGACTGTCCGGAGCATCCTATATCTCTGGTCGTATCAGGGAAGATATTAAAGTAACCATGACAAATGCCTTTAGGATGCAATGCTCTTGTTGTTGGGGTTTTGATTTATTTGTTGAACCTAACAAAGAAACCTTAGTGTTGGGGTGTCCAAATCCCGGCGGGAAAAGGGTCTGGCCGTGGTAGATGCAGCACTAAAAAATATTTTCGTGATTAGACACATTCTGCACTTCAGTCTGATAGCAGAAAGTGAGGAGGAATTAAAGAACCTCTTAATGGGGGTGAAAGAGGAGAGAGCCAAAAATGGTCTGAAGCTCAACATAAAAAAAAAACTAAGATCATGGCCACTGGACCCATCACCTCCTGGGAAATAGAAGGGGGAAGACATGGAGGCAGTGACAGATTTTACTTTCTTGGGTTCCATGATCACTGAAGATGGTGACAGCAGCTGCGAAATTAAAAGATGCCTGCTTCTTGGGGGGAAAGCGATGACAAACCTAGACAGCATCTTAAAAAGCAGAGACATCGCCTTGCAGACAAAGTTCCGCATAGTCAAAGCTATGGTTTTTCCAGTAGCCATGTATGGAAGTGAGAGCTGGACCATAAAGAAGGCTGACCACCAAAGAATAGATGCTTTTGAATTGTGGTGCTGGAGGAGACTCTTGAGAGTCCCCTGGACTGCAAGGAGAACAAACCTATCTGTTTGGAAGGAAATCAACCCTGAGTGCTCCCTGGAAGGTCAGATCCTGAAGCTGAGGCTCCAATCCTTTGGCCATCTCTTGAGAAGAGAAGACTCCCTGGAAAAGACCCTGATGTTGGGAAAGTGTGAAGGCAAGAGGAGAGAAGGAGATGGCAGAGGATGAGATGGCTGGACAGGGTCATCGAAGCGACCAACATGAATTTGACCCAACTCCGGGAGGCAGTGGAAGACAGGAGGGCCTGGCGTGCTCTGGTCCATGGGGTCACGAAGGGTCGGACACAACTTAACGACTAAACAACAACAACACTTCAGTCAGCCAGTAAGCTAAACAAGAAAAAAAAAGGCAAGTGGCTTTACAATATCCTTGTTACTCTGCGCTTGGCTTCCCAGCTGTCATCCAACCTGAACATGCAGCCCCTACTATAGAAAAATCACAGAAGGCTTTGCATACATACATGATGTCCACTTTCTCTTTTGGCCCTTGAACTTGTCCAGTCACCGTTCCCCAAGTCGTGTTCTTCACCCAGCCAACGACTCCTAGCTTTCTCCCCTGCTCTTCTGTGTACTAATTGAAAAAAAAAAGACAGAAAAGTGAAGGTCAGGAAAGACTAAAATAAATTGATTTACAGGCACTGCTCACTGTCTCCTTATTCGACAACAGGCTCCTGAATATATGAATTGCCTTCATGAAGGAATGTTGTGTTTTGAATATACAGAGCGAGAGGGAAGCGGCTGAGTGTATGTTATATGGTGCCCTTTCAGACAAGCAGATGTTCAGAGTTCCTGGAGGCTGCGACAGAGAAAAAGGGAGTAAGGAAAGGCAGCTTCACCAAATAATCTGATTTTCAGCTTAGGTCTTTACTGCCTTCTCCCAAAGGCTGCTTAAATCCTCTATGTAGACCGATCGCTCCACATATTCTCGGTCGTTCATAGGGTCGCCGTAAGTCAGAGGTGACCTGACAGCATGTAACAACAACAATACAGTGGTGCCTCACTTAACGATTGCCTCGTTAAACAACGAAACCACTTGACGATGAAGTTTTTGCGATCGCAAAACGATGTTCCTATGGGGAAAATTCGCTTAATGGTGATCGGTTCCCTGCTTCGGGAACCGATTTTTCACTAAACGACAATTTAGAAACAGCTGATTGGCGGTTCTAAAATGGCCGCCCGCTGTGCAAAATGGCTCCCCACTGTGTTTTCAGGACGGATTCCCCGCTTTACAGGCAGCGAAAATGGCCGTCCCTATGGAGGATCTTTGCTGGACAGTGAGTTTTCAGCCCATTGGAATGCATTGAACAGGTTTCAATGCATTTCAATGGGCTTTTTCGTTTCGCAAGACAATGTTTTTGTATGACAGCGATTTTCGTGGAACGAATTGATGTCGTCTTGTGAGGCACCACTGTATGTGGACTCACATCAGCCCTGCTTGTTAATGGCCGTCCCTATGGAGGATCTTTGCTGGACAGTGAGTTTTCAGCCCATTGGAATGCATTGAACAGGTTTCAATGCATTTCAATGGGCTTTTTCGTTTCGCAAGACAATGTTTTTGTATGACAGCGATTTTCGTGGAACGAATTGATGTCGTCTTGTGAGGCACCACTGTATGTGGACTCACACCAGCCCTGCTTGTCAAACCCAGAGAGAAAGGGGGCATGCAAGGCCCATGACAAAACCAAGTAGCCTTGAAAAACAATTATTATTATTTTCTTTCTAGGTTGCTTTCTGTGGAGAATTTGGTCTTATCCTTACGTAGCCTTTTCTCATGCAGAGAGATCAATTCACCTGCCTTGCCTTGCGCTTATACAGTATTGGAACAATTCCCCCCAAAAATGTAATTTTCAGAAGCACAGCCAAGAAACGTATTTGATGTTAATGATGATGATTTCTTTAAACTTTTCAATGCCAATTTAACATTTTTTTAAAGGAGGGGTTTCTCATCTTGCAATGTATGAAATGCAAAACACAATCATCAATCATAAAACAATCGTGAAATCGTTTTGCTTAGCGTTGTAGGTCAGGATTAGAGCAGGTTCTCTGGATCCATGGAGCTTAAAGAACAATGGACTCCCCAGATCCCCACTGATTCCATGGGCTTACTCTAGGTGCAATTTATTTTACCCTAAGCCTATCAAATATTTAGTTGCCATTTTGTTCTGCTCTGCCAACGCTGCTTCCAATTCATGGGAAATCAGGGACCTTAATACGTAATCACAGAACTGCATAGAGCTGGAAAGGAGTCTATGGGACATCAAATCCAGCCCCTGGTCAAGGAAGCACAGGGGAATTCGAACTCCCAACCTCTGGTCCCCAAGTAGAGACCTAAACCCCTGAGCCTTCCTGAAGTTGAAGGCATTCAAGAGATCCCAGTCTTGTACCATTCCAAGTAGAAGTGCCACTGGCCTTTGAAACCTCCATTTGGAAACCACCACCTTTAGCGGTCAGTTATAAGTCTTCACCACACCCCATAATGAGTAACGTCTTACCTTTCTGAAGAACACACCTAGGAAAGGGGGAGAAAGAGAGGTTACATATGGATCACACCCATGCATTAGCGGCAAACATAAACTTAGCAAACCTAGGATTGCAGCTGATTGTGCTCAAACATGTCAAGAGTGCCAATCGTGAGTCAACCACAACAATCCTGGTTTAAAGCTGGCATACAATCCTGGATTGTTTAAGTGCAGCAAACCATCATTCAGGGTTGGGATATCATACCGAGCTCATCTTCAATGGTTTGTTTACTTAATTTTGTGAAGGGAGGAGGGGGGACAAAGAGGTACATATTCACTAAGAACAAAACACACTGCCCACTCACATTGAGATTTAGACTCCTCCTAAAACGACATTTTACTTCCGTCACGGAAAGGACACGCTCTGTGCCCACAATCTCAGACGATTGTTCTTCATTCTGTGACGTCATACTAATCTAAGTAATAGTTGTGGCTTACAGTTTTCTATCTATCTATCTATCTATCTATCTATCTATCTATCTATCTATCTATCTATCTATCTATCTATCTATCTATCTATCTATTACCTACCTACCTACCTACCTACCTACCTACCTACCTACCTACCTACCTACCTACCTACCTACCTACCTACCTACCTACCTACCTACCTACCTACCTACCTACCTACCTACCTACCTACCTACCTACCTACCTACCTACCTACCTACCTACCTATCATTTACAAGTATCTGCAAACCTTTTTAGATGTTCAAATGCCAAAACGATGTGCAACAATCATAAATGCACTCTATGCAGAAATGCATACTACTGTATACAAAATCTTGCTACTTAATACAGTTAATTTCATTAGAGTAAACCCGTTGTATCAATGAGATTTAGTGAGTCCACACCTCTGTAAATCGCATTGATTCAAATGGGTCTGCTCCAAGGGTGACTAAAGTACATTGCAACAAGAGTAGGCCCATTTAAATCAATGGAACGTAAGGAGGTGTTGACATACCAAATCCTCATTGATTCAATGGGCCTATTCTAGGTGCAATTTACTACACTCAACAACAGAATTTGGGCCAATATAATATATGCAACATTCACAATACACAGTTCAACATACAATATTTATGGGGGCTCATGAGACAGAAGTCAGTCATGCAAGACACGCTTGTATAAACTGGTATATTTACAGTATGTACCTAAGCCAAAATGTTTAGGAGCAGGGCGGTGTTCTGGAGATAAAGGTAATTCACACAGAAAGCAAAACAACATGAACTGATCCCAGAGATTGCAAGGCAGACATGAAGAGCACGTGGAACCGTGGGGGGGTGGGGTGGATTCTCCCGGGGATCTGAGGAATCCAATGGACCTATACAGGAGACGCTGCTCTCTTAGGTAATACAGTATATGGCAGACCATAAATGCTACTCCTGGCCTGTGTTTCAAAAGGGAAGGTTGGAATCTTGCAAAAGAGCGGCAGACTGCATCTTATCACTACATCTTAAGTGACAAAAGGCATGCAATGCTAAGCCAGACATGACCCCCCCCCCACCATCTTGCTTGCTTCTTTTTAACATGGAAACAGGGTTTTTGAGCTCCCCTTTTTGAACTAGGGAGATCATATTAACAAAACCCTTTTTGGACCACATTGCACAATCCTTTCTGATGGAGAGAGGGAGGCCGTTTGAATCAAGAAATGAGGTTGATTCAAGGATGCTTAGCCTCCCACCTCATCATGGCCCAGATCTTAGCATTACAGAAAAAAACAACCCCTCTCTCTTTCTCTGCTGCTGCTGCTGCTTTAGGAGATGTGAAATGAATTGAACACCAAATTACATTAACGCTCCCAATTAGTTTCTTCTCTCCACTCCCNCCCCCCCGGGGGAATTGGCTTCAATTAAGTGCTTTCGGGCTGCAGAGCAGCTTGTCTTTGCTGCCGTTAGAACTGCAAGGAGATTCTGCAGCCCGCAGGCTCGGCTGGCATCTTATTTCAAGGGGTGTACTGTTGGCAGCCTGAACCACAGGGTGAGGGTGCAAAACAGACCTCGCCATGCGCAAGCACCCGACAGGAAGAAGCACAATCAGTGTGTCAGAGATGGTGTGGGAGGGAAGCAAAGAAGGGACTCACCCTGGACGTCCCCATACACCTCGTAGTCCACCGACCAGAGCCCTGGAGCAGCCATGGTTGTGAGTGCAGGCCAAAGTGAGTTGGCAGGAATCTCCGCCGAGCCCGAGGTATGAGCGAATGTGCTATCTGATCAGCTTCTCACTGCAGTCGGTCATGGGCATCCGTGTTACTAAATTCGGCAGGAGGGACAGGCGCAGGGTGGCCCACCTGGAAAAAGAAACACCAAGAAGCTTTCACTTGTTATTCAAACAAATGTGTGCGCACACACACACACCCCAATAACACCTTAACCACAGAGCAATGGGAAGAGGGGAGAGATGCCCCCAAATCAGAGCATCATCGCCTGCTTGGCTGGTTTGTTGTTGTTGTGAAAAACAGCCGGTATATCTGTTGGGATCGAATTCAAGCCCTGGGGGATCTGACCTCTCTGTCAAAGGATGCTGACCCTCCTCTAAACTGGGGTGGGGTCATCTCAGACGGGGCCCCGAAGACCAGGTTGCAGGTTCGAAAGCACGCCCGAGGGGGTCTGGGCTAAAAGGGGTGTGGCCAAATAAACTAAGATGCATATGTAAATACAGCATTTTAAAAAAAACACCAGGCGTTACATTATAAAAACATTGACTGGTATTATATAACAGATAGGGGGTTTAACCCAAAAATCTGTTAAATATCAGTGCAGTATGTATGTTGTTCCTAATATTGCCTTTTTTCCCCCATAGCTCTGATTTCTGAGATCTTCAGCTCCTTATAGCACTTTGTGAAATTTCTTGATATTGTTCCCAAAGCCCCAAGGACGACGGGGACCACTGAGTTGTGTTTCATCCACAAGCGAGATGTTTCGATGGCCAGATCTCTGCATTTTGTTAGTTCCCCCCCCCTTCTTTATTTCCAATTCTGGCATCCCCTGGAATTGCCATGTCAATGATCCAGACCTTCCTTCGTTCTATGACTACTCTGTCTGGTGTGTTATGTTCAAGATATCTCTCCATTTGGATCCAGAAATTATTATGCTTAATAATATTCTAAAAGGATGCTACAACCGTGTTTTTTTAAAAATGAAAAAGTGATTTAATTTAAAAAACTTACATTGAAAAAGAACCCCTCCATTCTAACTTCTATTCTGTTCTATTCTATTTTTAATAGGGCATGCAACGTAACGTAACCTGACTCTTCCTCCTGTACTCTATATATGCACCAAAAATTTAATAGCAAAATCCTACTGGTTAGTTACGTTGCAAATAGTAGTGAGATAAAGTGCACTGGCAAATTGCGCCACTGTACAGGGGTTTTAATTAAAGCTTTTAATTGGGAATGGGAGGTGGGTTGAACAGAGGCCGGATCCAGGAACATGATGGAGATCATTAACGCGCAAGGGTGTGTCAAGTTGCTGTATGACGGGGATGAATAATTTTTTTAAAAAATCATGTTTTAAATCAAGATGCTCAAAATCTGTATTATTATTTTTTTAAAAGTCACGATTAGCGCCCTCCCACCCTTTCGGCAGAAAGAGCGGAGGCCTAAACCCACACATTCCTTCCTGTCTATACTGAGATTGGCCCTGCCATTTAAAACGTTTTATGTATGTATTTCATGGCGTCTTTTAAAAAGGACCACTATGTTCGTTTTGATGATCTTATTGACTATGGAGTCGGTTCGGCCCTTCTGAACTTCGGTGGTTGCCTTTTTCGTGTTTGCAAACCACCCAGGGCAGCATTAAAAATTAAATAATTGAATAAGTAAATTGTAAAAATGTAGATATCCCTTTTTAAGGATTACAGGTTCCATCATCCCCAGCCAGCAGCTGCTGAGAGCATGATTGGGCGTCCAGCCACCTCTGGATTCACCCATCCTGGAAGTGGGGTGGTAACGCATGACTCAAAGGAGTAACGCCTCGCTGGCATCGTTACCCCTGAATTACTGTTACAGTTCCTTTTCCTTCCCTGTCTCTCATAGGGACGACGCATGCGCAGTTTGCCTGAAGGCGAGGGTGGGGGAGGAGGGAAAAAAAAAGGCGGGAACAGGAACGCGCCTGGCGGAGGCGCGCTTCCCCTTTCAGCGGGAGGGAGCGAACGGACGCGCATGCGCGGGAAGCGCGCGCCTTTTGACTTTCGGGCGGCGGGATAAAAAAAAATGAATGAAAAGCCCGCGCGCGCCTGGCCATGAGGGGAGCGTGGGCCGCGGCCGCGCGCACGGTGCGCGTCCCCGCGGGATTGTGGGGGGGGAAACGGGGAGTCTTATATAAAGGGGGGGGGAGTTTAAAAGTGAAATAAGAGATGGGGTTTGTGAGGAACTTGGGTGAAAAAACGCTCTGTTTCTGAGGGGAAGGTTTTTGAGGCGGGGCATGAAAATACCTTATTTCCTCCCCCTTTGTGGGGTTTTTTTTTGGTGAGGGGACTACAACTCCCATCAGCCCCAGGCAGGAAGGAGGCTTGGGCGTCGCCCACCCCGGAAAGGGACCGTGGTGGTAACGCCTCGTTACCGTTCCTTTTAAAAAACAAAACAGGAGGCTGGAAAACGTGGGGCGTTTTTTGGTTTCTAACTGAGGGAAAAAATGCATGCTGTCTTATTGACGCAAATCAGGCAGGGGGCACCCAAAAGGAGTCCCAGACCTCGTTTGCAGAAAAATGCATGTTCAAAACAAAATAATATAAATAAATAAATAAATAAATAAATAAATAAATAAAAAATAAAATAAATAAATAAATAAATTAAAAGGCAGATCATTGGACTTAGCAGCCTGGTATTGTGGCTGTGAAACCATCTCCAGCCCTAAATGCTTGGCATTGAAAGGATAAAAAGGTGTTTTCCCCTCCAACCCGCCGCCCCCAACTTCTTCTCAAATTCAAAGTCAGTCATAAATGACTTAAAAACACCGACATGGGGAGGAATAAATAAATAAATAAATAAATTAAAAGGCAGATCATTGGACTTAGCAGCCTGGTATTGTGGCTGTGAAACCATCTCCAGCCCTAAATGCTTGGCATTGAAAGGATAAAAAGGTGTTTTCCCCTCCAACCCGCCGCCCCCAACTTCTTCTCAAATTCAAAGTCAGTCATAAATGACTTAAAAACACCGACATGGGGAGGAATTGAGTTTCTGGTGTCCTGTAAGCCTTAAGGGGTTCTGGAGAGAAAAGAAGATGACTGTAGAAACAACATACTGTACAGTAGTCCTCCTTTAATTTTCTTCTACCTCCCTTTACCTTTCTCCGAAATAACAAGCAGGCAGGGTGCTGAGGTGCCAAAGGCCAAGCCCAAGAGGGTGATGATGATCATCATCAAAGGTTAATAAGCCGAACAATATGTTTTCAGGCCATGGAATAAATTATCATTATGCCCATGTAAATGCATTTTCATTTTCCTCTGATCTGCAAAGTTGCAGGGCCTGGAGGCAGGGTGATCATCCTGTCCCTGTGAATAATGGATTTAAAAGGATCTTATTCTACCCTCCAGCGGCCACTGACAACACTGGCTGTTTTGCTGTTTTTTTCAGGGTCGACAGACAGTCTTCCCGTGAAACGTTCTTGGACATGTGAACATGATCCAATATACCCGCTGAAAGATCCGAGCTTTTTGCAGAAAAGAAAGATAAATGCCATTTCTGGAGAGACGGCTTTATAAAAATAATGCACGGTGTGCACATTCTTTCCCTGCCCAGCCCATGCACTAGGTTTGACACAAAATACAGCAGAACTTGCTTTAAACTAGGTGTCTCCCGGTTAGAAAACCAAGATATGAAGCAGCTGATTAGATTATTTTTGAACTAGGCCAGTGATTTTGGTTTTTTCCCACCAGGGGTGAATGCAAGAAAAGATAACAAGAGCTCCACCTACTATTGTGTAAATAATCTGGAAAGATCCTTTGTTCAGGTGACGTTAGGCAACGCCAGCCCAAAATTATTTTACTGCCTAAGCAGAAGTGTAGCACGCCCTCCGCCCGCCCTCACCAAAGTCAAGGTGCTTACTCCACAAAAGCAGCAACGTTATTTTGATAGAGGAGCCTGAGACCCTCCCCTTCCCAACCATGGGTGGCAGATGCAAAATTGTTGTGAAAAAATGCAACAATATGACATGAATGAAATAACCATACGCTGTCCTTGAATGACACCAATCTCCTGTTGCCCGAGAGGGCCAAATCACTTTACCGAGCTGTAAAATCGGCCCAGTATTACAGTACATGGTTGGAAAGATGCATTTGCCAACATTGCCCATACATTGTTTGGGTGCTCAGTCACCCTGATTCCTTTATGCATGTCTCTATAAGGAAATCACTCCCTGTGCCAGGGGAATAACCTCCATCCTGTGGCTTCTAGATGTAAAAGTTTAAAGATGGCAGAAATACCTTTGTAGTACCTTTGCAGGTCATATTTGGCTTGATCTCCCGTCTAAACCCTGCAACCTAAGGCTGCTGAAACCGCGTCTTGCGTCTTGTCCAAGCAGAGGTGATCTCTTAGCCCGGTATTTCCTGCAGCTCTAATGCATCCTCAGGCTTTTCTGTTTCCGCAAACAGGCAGAGACTGAGGGGGTTTAGCTAAGGAGGGCTAAACCATGGAATAACATTCAGTCTGAGCTGGGAAATTGGCCTGAGGCTGCATTTTCGTGGAAAAGAAGATATGCCGGCTGAGGGTTGCCAGGAGAATTTTTAATCCACTATTTACTTTACACCCAAGGATTATGAGTCTAAGGGGTGTGGAAAGAAAAGTTACAATATTTGCAATTCAGTATCCTTACCAGTGTTTTTCCAAATGCCTTTTTACTTGGGCAGACAACATTTGTTGTAGATTGTTACTCTCAAGACCTCCCCCCTGCCTTGCAATTATTCCCTGTCAGATAGTTCACAATGTAGTCTTGGGCTAAAAGTGCTGGATATTCAGCAGTTTTCAGAAGCAATGTAAAACGGACAATAGCGGTCCCCACTCCACCCCAAAATCCAATAACCTGTATATAGAAATAGCCCCAGCCAGCTAGAGATCCCTGATTTTAAAAATCAAAAACTAATGTTATCTGTTAATGATGTCCAACCCTTTAGGAGTACAAGATACGCTTGCAAACCCCAGAGTGCTTCTGGATAGACAGGGGAATAGTTGTCAAATAACATCTGGAGGACCATATGTGGATGATCGCATCCTAAAGAGCATGTCACCGAGCCTTTTGTGTCCAAGGCCAGCTTTGAGGTTCAGTTTAGGCAGGATTTGGGTGGCATGCATGATGATTTTGGTACTTCATTGCTCATGTCCAAAAGGCACTTTCTTATTTCAGATTATAGAATATCTAATCATTCGCCTCCAATATGGAAAAAAACGCCAGCCAGTGGGATGTTCCACCACAGAAGGCGTGCTTGTCCTCTCGGTGGACATTGAAAATTCTCTCCAGGATGTGAATCAGTCCCACTGTGTCACCATTAGTGAGTATCATTTAAAGGGCTCCTTCAGAAAGACCCTCTATTTTATACAGATAAGAGAAAAAAAAAACAGGCAGACTTTCCCCGTCCATGTAACTATCAAACAAGTAATAACGTCCACCTCCTAGCAGCTATTTTCCAGCTCTGATGCCGTTTGCATTGCTATTCATTGCTAAAGTACCTAATTATGTCTGCTAGCAGGATAGCCCATTTTAGGGGAAATCTTCAGCCAAAAAAAGAGAGGGCATACCGGGTCAAACAATTTTTATATGCTAGTTCAGAGGGAGTGATAAAAACCTGGAAATAATTACTACCCGATAGAAAGGCGGTACAAAACATCACACCATTATGGGAAAAACTGTGATCATACATGCCTTCTGTTCTATCTTCTCTCCAGATTTCAGATGTCAATGACAACTTCAAAGTCCCTGCTCTCCTTTAAAATAAATAAATAAATCATCCTTTATCTTTAAACCAGGCTTAGACTACTAGACTGAGTCCAGAGGATGCCTGGAAACGGTAAAGCAGGATACACGTCTCCCTACCAACAGTTTGCATTGTTCCTGGGTTTTTCATAAGCTGTAAACCCACAGGGATTCGTCGCTGGGTTGAAATCTGAAATAATATAAATTAATGTTGTTCCTTATTTGTTTGCAGTTTCATCAAAAGGCGACGCCTGGCATGAGCTCCTTAGTGATGAGTTGCGTAAAGGTAAATATCTTACCAGTTTCCATGGTTAGGAGGATAAGAATAGCGCTCGTGGGCCCAATCCAGCATTCCTGTTTCCCGCAGGAGGCCCACGTGAGGCACAGAAGCAGAACATGTGGGCAGGAGCACCTCACCCATGCATGCTGTCCAGCAATTTGTATTTGGGCATCCAATTTGTGGCTATAGATTTTTCTTATCCTGGACATAACTCGGCCCCAAAAATTTTCATTTTATGGTGTCCCAGGTAAAGAGTAACCCAAGCTGCTTTTGTTAACAGAGGGTTGGGGGTCAGCCTCATTCGTATGGGAGCTGCCTCCTTATCTTTTTTTGGCAGAAGACTCTACAGGAGCAGGATTTGGCCAAAGTGAGAGGAACCTAATCCTCACTTAACTCATTAAGGACTCATTAAGATCCCCTGTCTTTTTTCCACCTAATTTGAGTCGTGGTCCTAGGTTGAAGATGCCTTCTCCCGTGGGTGCTGCATTAAGAGCCAGCGCGGGTGGGTCTATGCTCTAATAACTGCTTCTTTTCCTTTCCAAAGTGAATGGTTAATTGAATCCAGTTGATTTCGGAGGAACAACTACAGTGTTTAATTGTGCCACTTGAAAGGAAAAAAAAAATCAAAGAAGCAGCCATGTGAGCTCAGCATGCTGGTACAATGAAGAAAAGTGGGGAAGAGAAAGAGAGAGAGAAAAGCAAAACTATTATAGCACTTTAAAGACTTAACAGATTTACAGAGTTTGGTCCATAAATGCTCACATTTATGGACCAAATTCTCTAAAGTGTCACAATATTTTGCTTGTCTTATTTTCTTCTTTAATGTTGCCAACAACCTGAAAAACTAAATTGCTTACACTAAAAGAGACTTGGATTATACTTTGAGAAGCTTTCTTAAATACAAGCCTTGCTATTTCCTATTTAATTGTTGGTTTCATCTTAGAGGCAGAGTTAAAAGAGATCAGGAAAGCTTTCTAATCCAGCCACGAGGAAAGGTTTCCTCAGTTTCTGCCACCACTCAATGAATCCATGAAATTCTCACCACCACAGGATAACACAGGCAGGAGACCTGCTCCTATAAACCATGCTGCATATAAATGACTATATAGAGCCATAACTTTGCAAAGTTCAGGAGCCCAGCCACAGAGTGCTATTGGGACAAGATCAGGAAGATCACCAGTTTGATGATTTTCTCCTCGTTGCTGTGTTTAAATCATTCAAACTTAACGTAAATTCACACACTGAGGACTGGTGCAAACAGAACACTCCTTCACTTTTAATCACAGTTAAGACACAGGGAAAACTCTTGTGTGAAAGTGTCATCTCTCTCTCACGCCCTCTCTCCTAACGAGAACGAACTCTCTCCCTGTTGCGTCAAGAAGAAACTCAGCATTCAAATATCTGCAGCATTCCCGAGTCATCGCAAATGACAGCACGGGTAGCAAACGTCTGCCCCACTCTCCACCCCATGGGACCTAAACATCTGGGTCATTTCTCCACCATCCTATCTAGCTACTATCCTCAGATAACACAAGAGCAAACGGATGCCATATGAAAGCCACTGCCTTTGTTCGGGATCAAGTAGCAGGAAGGCGCTTGTGAGCTATATTGTGCCTATACTCATATTCTGAAAATAGGTGTATTCAGACGTAGCTGGGAAATGGCTTCAAGGAAAGCAAAAATGGTGATCAAGGGACTGGAAACCAAGCCCTTGGAGGAAAGATGGAAAGAATTGCGTCTGTTTAGCCTGGAGAAAAGAAGACTGAGCAGAGTCTTTTTAAATACTTGAAAGGTATTGATACAGAAGAGCAGCAGGATCTGTACTGGATCATCCCAGAGTGCAGGACACGTAGTAATGGGCTCAAGCTGCGGGAGGCCAGATAGTCCCTGAATATCAAGGAAAACGTCTTTAACTGTTAGAGCAGTACGACAAAGGAGCCCATGATGATCTCAGGAGGTGGTGAGTGCTCCAACGCTGGAGGCATTTCAAGTGAAAACTGGATAACCATATTTCAGATCTGCTTTGACTTAAGATTCCTGCCTTGTGCGCATATTTCAGATCTGCTTTGATTTAAGATTCCTGCCTTGTGCAGGGGGGGGGATCAGACTTGATGGCCTTAGAAGCCCCTTCCAACTCCATTATTCTATGATTCATTGATGTGTCATTATAAATTATCAGTTGGATTATGAGATCATGTGAAATGGCCCATAAAAAATTATGCCAACATTATATGGCTATGTGCACGCCAGTCTCTCATCATCTGCTTTGATTTAAGATTCCTGCCTTGTGCAGGGGGGGGGATCAGACTTGATGGCCTTAGAAGCCCCTTCCAACTCCATTATTCTATGATTCATTGATGTGTCATTATAAATTATCAGTTGGATTATGAGATCATGTGAAATGGCCCATAAAAAATTATGCCAACATTATATGGCTATGTGCACGCCAGTCTCTCATCTGACATTCGGCTCACAGAAAGGTGCACGTTTGTGTCCCCCCTGCCCTTTGATAACTGTTTCTCTGTGCTTTTGCGACACAGATCGTGAAATCCAATGTTAAATGTCGAGATATTAAATGCCTTTTTAAAAATGCCTGCTTGCTGTTGCTTAACTCTCTCTCTTAAAAAACCAGGACATTCCATGAAGGGCATCTCCACCCACTGGCATCTGGATGCAGGCATTCCTGATCTTCTTCTCTCCACGATTGGAAGGGAGATACTGCAGTTTTTAGGCTGTCCTTTCTTTGTTTTGCATGGCTTGTCTGATGTTAATGTTCCCTCTTGCAGAAATTGAAACCTTGCTGCTGCCTTTACGTCTGAGTAAGACCCAGAGAGGAAGGGGCTGTCCTCATGAATGTCCACACAACATGCCTTTTCAGTTTTCCTTTGAGGTTAGCATCTATTTTGAATCTTTTGTTGTTGTTTAGTCGTTTAGTCATGTCCGACTCTTCGTGATCCCATAGACCAGAGCACGCCAGGCCCTCCTGTCTTCTACTGCCTCCTGGGGTTTGGTCAAATTCATGTTGGTCGTTTTGGTGACCCTGTCCAGCCATCTCTGTCATTCCCTTCTCCTCTTGCCCTCACACTTTCCCAATATCAGGGTCTTTTCCAGGGCGTCTTCTCTTCTCATGAGATGGCCAAAGTATTGGAGCCTCCGCTTCAGGATCTGTCCTTCCAGTGAGCACTCAGGGTTGATTTCCTTCAGAACGGATAGGTTTGTTCTCTTTGCAGTGCAGGGGACTCTCAAGAGTCTCCTCCAGTTTGAATCTTAGTCTGGCGCAAAACACCTTCTGCTCCTTTCCTTCAAACATCAGTGCCCTGCAAGATTCGGCTTGCACATTTTCCAGTGAAATTATCTATGAGATGTGTGGATAGGAATGTATACCTCGCAACTCCAAATGGGCACCACAACACGCCTGGATTAAGCCCTATGAGAATATTAGTAGTTTGTGAATTTGCTATATATATTTAGGGATCAGCCTATATGCTGCATATAACAGCATTGTCCCGCTGCCAGTATTCAAATAAGATTCACTACTAGTTTCTATGTGTGGAATGGTGTCGGAGCACTATGTTATCCTTGATGCCAGGCACCAAAATATTTTGTACCAGCCCTGTTGTCTGTAACTCATTCCATGTGCACAAGAAATGCATATAGACCAGTAGGACAGAAAAAGTAAATCAAAGGAGAGGCTTCTGTAGGTGGTAGAATTGAGTACTATTCGTCTTGAATCATGGCCATAGGAATGTCTTGGTTTATAGGTATCAAAGAACAGGTATCTCCAGGTGTGGGGAGACCTGAAGACATGCTAAAGCTGGTCAGGTGAAAAGCTTGAAGCTATAGGACTAGAGAATGTGGCTTCTCTGCAGCACCTGTGGGGCCTTGCAGCACCTACCCGCCTCAAAAAAAAATTATTTTAAAAAATTGCTCAACATTTCTCTTTGGCCCTCTGGGACGAGATTTGCTAAGTTTTGAAAGACTTCAGCTTTGTATGTTTTTAACAAATATATTTTAAAATAATTCGGTGGACCCCTATAAAGAGGGAGGCAGCTTTTCCAGTCCAAACAACCCCTAATTTTATAATATTGGGGAGGGGGGGTTATGAGAGCAGATGCAGATCACTTCAAAGTCCTGGGATCACTCCCTGGACCTCTGGAAATTGCTCACTCCTGCTCTGTGGAGTGTTTTTAGCATGGTTGCATAGTAAAATGCTGTATGAATACCTCCTGATCATCCCCCTGGTGGGGGCGGGGGCGGGCAAGAAATAAGAATTTTCTTTACATAAACTGTACAGCGAGGAAATGGCCTAGATTCTTCTTCACAGTATGATGATGGATCAAGAACCTAGATTCTGGCCAGAATTGGTTAATGAAGAAAATTCCCTAGTGCAGGATTAGATAAATGATGATGTGTTGTGTGCACTGCTTGCTACATAAGCCAGGTGGTGTAGCATCTTCAACCAGATCGCCCTGGAGATTTAACAAGAGTCCCAGAAATGTAGTAAACCACAAAAGCAAGGGATATGGTACAGTACTTCATTTGTTTTAAATTATACATCTACCATACCTAGCAGAGTCTGGCTGGTGGAAGACCCTGACAAAGAAAAAGAATGGCAATTCTTCTATTTCTTTTCTTGGAACTCTGTTTTCAGTATGTACGTATATTGAATGTGTGAATGGATTAACCAGGCTAAACCCATTGGGAAATAAATAAATCAAGTTTAAAGGATAGAATACGGCACAGGGCAAACATTTTGGAAAGGAAGGTTTTAACAAGATGCGTGTTGTGGCTTTCCAGCTCTGCGAGGCATCTGAAGTTCTCGAGAGAGATTGTTTGGCAATGAAGCAGTTCATCCACAGGATCAGTCTTGTATGCACAATGGTAAGACGTTTCTCCTGAACTCTGGTTTGCTAAATACTTTTCTGAAGCCTCCTCGGGTTTAATCAGCTTCAAACAGAAGCTTTAAAGGAAAGGGTGCGAACTTGGGGTGACAGAACAGCTTTCTCGAGCTGTTGATAAAGATGGAAAGGGTGCTTCCTGCCGTCTACAGAATTCCTGTTGCTTGGTCCAGTTTTCTATTATTATGTTACATGCCATCAAGTCAGGATTGTAGAACAAGTAGGGTTGTCAAGGTAAATGAGATATTTAGGAGTGGTTCTACCAGCTCCACTCATCACAGTGGATTTCCATTGCCTCCTGGTTCTTAATCCATCACTCCGTTCAGTACACCACACCGTGTATGCAAGAGTCACAGCTTGGTAGTAAACCACATAGCTTTCCAGGCTAAAATTGATGGGTTATGTCCTTGCATCTCTAGTTAGGTTTGAGAACACCGCCTCTCACTGCCAGTTATTATTTCCACTAGTGGGTTAGATGGAGGAAGTGTCTGGCTCGTTGTGACACAGCTTCCTAGATGCCCTTCCTGTTTTGAGTCTCCTTGATTGTTCTCCTGCTTTATTTTACAGATCAAATTTCATTTCTGTGTCAAAGTGAATGGCTCAGTTTCAGCGGAAACTTACAGGTAAGCAAATGGTTCGCCCACACAGTTATAAAGGCAGCTGCAATAGGTTCCTGTGTTTCAGTGGCTCTGCCAGTTGTCATGAAACAACAGTCGTCACAGTCTGTTTCAAATAAACACAAAGAGCCCATCTCCTGACCTAAGGAAAAGGGAGTTGGTTTCATTAAAACTCCTGCTGCTGGCGGGCTGGGAGTGGCTGCCTGGTATCCATCTGCCTTATCTCTGTTTTATTTTATTGCTCATTCAGAACATAACAAAACAATTTTTCAGCACCAACCACCTGTTATCCATGGCTCAGCTAACTATTACTTGATATACTATAATCATTGATATGACAGCTGGAAATGTCAAATATATGATCTGATCAGGATAAAATAAAGAGAAGATGGAAAGAATACACTGAGGAACTACACAGAACAGATGCAAAGATGACATATTCCTTAAAATGAGAACTTTGGATGAAGTACCTGCCGTTTTAGAAGATGACAGGAAAGTTGCTTTTAAAGCTACTGAAATAAATACTGTAAATAACCAGAAGTAAATGGGATACCAGTAGAGCTATTTCGGAGGGGCAGACACCGGAACTACACAGAACAGATACAAAGATGACATATTCCTTAAAATGAGAACTTTGCATGAAGTACCTGCCATTTAAGAAGATGACAGGAAAGTTGCTTTTAAACCTACTGAAATAAATACTGTAAATAACCAGAAGTAAATGGGATACCAGTAGAGCTATTTCGGAGGGGCAGACACCGTCTGTTAAAATCCTAACAAGAATATACCAACAAATTCAGAAAGTGGCCAGGATGGTACTGGAGTTTCCACTGGCATAAGTGCAGCTGAATACGTCATGATGGAAATTGCCAATAATTAGGGAGTTTCTGCTTGTCCAACTGGATGACTGGCTTGCAACCAGAAGTACAAGTGACACCTCGTTAATTGGGAGCAATCTGCAGCCATAATTTGCACAATTACACTTATACGAATCTTCAGTAAGATTCTAGCCACTATTTCTGTTTTGGAGATATCTGTCCGCATTCACCAATGGAGTTCAATGCCAAGATGCCTGTTAGTGAAAAAAGGTCACTTCAATTTGATTGGAACATGGAAACATTATCTGGTTTTGGTCTACAACACCCAGTATCTGCAGTCAGCAAGTTGACTAGGGATTCTGGGAGCTGTAGTCAAAAAAAGTAATATTCCCAAGCTCTGGTAATGAATGAAGCACATCCCTTAATAGCAATTCGATGGCTAAAATCCTGTTGCTTAGTTATGGATGAGGAAGGCAAACAGCATAATGTCCATTCACTTCTAGCTGGCAATTAACAAGTCCCCCAAGAATCCTGGTGGCGACTCTTTAATTGCCAGCTAGAGGCAAGGGCGCGTTGTACTATTTTTGTAATTAAACAACAGAATTTCGGCCCATGTGTCCCATTCATTTTTGCTGAATGTGATCTTCATTAAGGAGGGTCACTTCTCATTAAAGAGCAGTGAGGTAGCAACAGAAAACAGCCCTTCTGAATGACCCATGTGGACTGTTACTAGTTGAAATTTCTGCCACTGGTCTGAATCCACCATACATTTCAGTTCCTTATTTCCATCTGGCCCCAAGCTCCTAGGATCTGCATTTTATTTCATCATCGTTAGTGCAAATGGCTAAACACAGGTTTCCTTGAATCATCAGCCAAAAAGCCTGCATATGTAGTTACCCCCCCCCCACACACACAATTACATGTTTTGCACGCTGCACAGAAATTTTAGAACAAACATACTTACAGATGTATTTTTCTTTGATAGCTGATTCTTTCTGTCTGGCTAGGTCTGTGGAAGTGGTTGCACCGAGTTCTGCAGGCAGATGCGTTTGTTCCGACAATCTGCGAGATCCTTTCTGTCAGCTCCTACCCTGAGTACCAAGCACAAAGCATGCTCTATTCTCCTTCCGCTGGCTTCAGGAAAGAATCTGAAACTCTCCTTAATAAGTTGGCAAAGCATAGCGGAGTTTGGCCTGAATTAAACTTACCCATTGAAACGGGGCGATGCGCTGTCAGGTCACTTCCACCTTATGGCAACTCTTGTGAATTAATGACTTCTAAACAATTCTTTCATTTAGCCGCTCTGTCCAGATCTCGCAGACCAAGAGTTGGGGTTTCCTTTATTGGGTCAACCCACCACCCTGTCAGGTCTTCTTTCCCGGTTGCCTTCCCATGTTAAAAAGATGGGTCAGTTTTGCATCACATTTACAGATCTGATCAAAACAAATGTAGAAAACATAAGATATTACCCCTTCTGGCATGACCTGGGTTTAGATGGAGGCTCACTGGAACATTGTCTTTAATCATCATCATCTTGGAACTACAGAGCTGAAGGGACCCTAGCAAGTCCAGCCCCCATCAAGGAGGACCAGTGAGGGAATCAAACTCCCAACCTCTGGTTCCTCAGCCGGATGGCTAAACCACTGAGCTTTCCAGCAATTCTTTGAAGGTGTGAGATTTTCAGTGAAGCTGTTCCTGGTGCTTTCTTCCCTCTTCCTTTAATATTTACTATCTTGAAAGCCAGATCATGATGGAAAATATATATATTTTAAAAAAATCTCTGCTCAGGGGCAGTGAGCAACATATGGCTTAACTTTTCAGTTACGTTGTAGAGTGTGCGCGCACACATACGTGTACATTTGGAGAACTTGGAAAGGTGGCGTTCTTGGGAGTTTTAGGCTTAGAAGTAACTTCCCCAGAATCTGTTTCCTGGATGTTTTTAGCCAAGGATCCAAAGCTGCCCTTCCATGACTTCCGAGGAAGACACGCGAAGCACCACACCGTGTGCGACATCCTCTTGAACCGCTGCGCCGGTGTAACTTGACGTTGTGTCTGTGGTTGATCTGGAAGTACCGAGGGGGAAAAAAGCTCTCCATGAAGCACTTTCACTGCCACACGGCACAACAGTCACAATGGGAACCACACGGCTGACTGTGCAATCAAACTGCACCGCTCCTTGTTGCCAGACTAACAACCAGCACATTTATGTATGGCGTAATTTTATGCCCTGCCTGCACAAATAGGATTTTTCCCCCCAACAGAACTTGCTTCCAGCTAAACATGACAAATTTTTGTTGTGACTCCAACAATACGCACTTATCTAAGCAAATGCTGAGATGGCTGATTTTCCAGCGCCTGGCCTGTCATCCCACAAAGATTAATCGCACTGGCGTATGATAGGATTTTACTCATAGTGTGATTCCCCCTCCCCTGTGCTATTAGAGGATAACAGCTGTAATCTGAATATTCCCTGCCAGTTCCAGAGATGGGACTGCATGCCAATAACTTCAATGTACAGCCCTAAGGGGGTGGAGAGAAAAGTGTACTGCATTTTGTAAATTGCATGTCTTGAACTGTGTACTCATAAGCAAAGTCGCATTCTGCACATGGAGGCTTACATGGCTGAAATACAACAGGCATGTAAAGAAATCTTTCTGGGATGGAGACAAGAGCCCAATAATGACTGAACATCCTCGGGGATCACAGAACACTGTGAGGCGGGAAAAAAAATCAAGGATCAGGATGATAAGGATGGAATAGATTATCCCATAAAAAGGACGTGTCTGGCTCGAACTGTGAACAGCACTTTTTTTTCTATTTAATTTCTTTATCCACGCTGAAAGATGGATTGGATATTGCCGCGCAAGCAACTATCAGTGGCCTTAAAGTACAGTAAGACTCTGTATCTATGGGGGATCCATTCCAATACATGGGTGCTGAAAAACATGGATTATAGCAAATGCTATTATAATAGCAAATGGCATGGTCTCTGGCTCCCTCTCTGTTCTCCTACCAATATCAAAGAAATAAGTTTTTCAAGAGAACACTATATACTTCATCCCTGGCTCCACCTACTGGCCAGTTCTGGTAACTTCAGTTAAAATGCATTTTTGTGGCCAGTTCTGGTAACTTCACAGTTAAAATGCATTTTTTAGGGGGGAATTTTTCTTTTAATAATTTCAGACCCTAAGTGAAACAGCGGATCATGATCCCTGTGGATAAGGGGCGCCTACTGTACTGAGAATTGACTGGCCAGCTCTGTAACCTCAAACACCATGGTGTGCGCCTGTTCTGTGTCATTCCTTTTTTTTTAAATAAAACACACAAACACATACACATTTGTGTTGTGTCATTCCTTTGTGCACAGTGAAAATTGCAAAAGGCAACCAACTAGGCAGGGAAAGGGTGCTGCATGGCCTTATCTTTAGGGGTGGTCTGTTTTATAATTTTAAAAGACACACACAAATGTACTGACTGTGAAACATATCTTCCTTCTGCTCTCTAGCTCAGACAGTAAAGCGAGTATATATCTGCCAGATGGGAAAAAGCTGCTCACGGACAGAAGTCATTTTATGAGGTGAGGAATTGGAGGGGTGGGTGGGAGGGGATGCACCGTAGAGCCTCTACTGCTCAGTGCGTAGGTGCAGGGACCTGCTGACCCTAAGCACCGCCTGGATCTTACAGGCAGAGATCTTAGCAACGTGCTTGGAGTCCTAATATTTTGGTGTATCACTTCCTGGTCTGCAAGAGAGACGCCACGGTGCTCCATGGCCTTTGCTGGGGCAAACCAACAAAGCACCCACACCAACCACGCAGCGGCATCATGCGCAATGCTGCAAAAAAATAATTTCAGCACTTAAGGAGAAAAATCCCGCTAGCGCCTCTCATTCCACCTGGCAGCAAAGCACAACCTCAATAAATTTAAAGATCCATTTTCTCTCCTTTCAACTTGATTCCACTCCAACCTACTTCCTGGGGGTAACCAATAATCCTACCAGATAGTAAAGCCAGCTGCGGCCTGAAGTAGCTGTTCCACCCAGAAGAGGCACTATTAAAAGATTTAGAGATGAGGCAGCTTTGAGGACTTCTTGATTCCTAATTGTGGAGGGCAAAAGATGACGGGTGCTCTTTTCAGCAGGGAAGTTTTTCTACTCAAGCCGTAAACGGTGAAAGCTTAATGAAGGGGAAACTTTCGAAGTTTCCACCACAGGCACAGTTTTAGACTTTAGGATGAATGACAGGTATGTTGCAGAGGGAAGACTCCTGGACCCCGTCATCTCCTTCCCACCAAGATCTGCTTCTGGCACCTAGCTGTTTGTACTTGGAAAAAGCAGGTGGGAGTGGTTTTCCAGGGGAGGAGTATAAAGCTGTTTCGGTCAGAACCAGCCTGTGTTGCCACCTGGTGGACGTCGCAGCAGAGAACTGGGAAGGTTTGGATTTTGTAATTAAAAAGTCCCGTCAGACCAATACATGGAGAAAGCCAAATTCAGACAGGGAGAGGGCCCACTTTGCCCTTATGCTTTGACATAATTTGTGCGCTGTCATTAAAATAGGCCCTTTAAAAAAAATTGGTTAGAAAATATGCAAATAGGATATCGGGAAATCTGTAAAGCCACGGCAAAGGGTAACCGTTCACACAGTGGGGTTTTCCGGGTTGTGGAACGTTGAGTCTGTGTTGCAGAGAGGGGGGCTCAAAATCATGGCAGGCCCTACAGCAGTTAAAAATAAAGTAAGTGATCGCTGATGTGCTCCAGAAAGCCATCCTCATGATTTGGACTTTAAACAGCTGTCCGCTTCAGCCACTGCAACTATTGGTTACAAACGAGGGCAATTTATGGATCGAGGGGTATTTCACTCCCATGTCTCAGAGGCAGGTGCTTCCAGCGGCCCTCGGTCAGAAATACTCTGAAACAAAGTCCAAAATATCTGGAGCTGAACCTAAGTTGAGGGAAGACTGGTCTATCTAACGATTAGTTCTGTTTGTCTCACTATTCCTTTACTTCTGTGTTCTTCTCACCTGAACCCTCTTGGCTGTGTGGCTACGGCAAGGCCACTTTCAAAGGATCTGGCCTCATCTTGCGAGAAAATCCACCCCGTGACAGGCGAGGGCGTGGGTCTCTTTATTCCCGAGGAAGCAGCCCAAGGAGGCTTCAGCGGGGAGCTAAGGCTCACACCCGTGGCGGCCGTCTGTCCCTGCCGGAAGCCTTTCCCCCACCAGCCAACCCGGATAACCGCGCTCTCTGTATCCTTTACCTGGGCTAAAGACAGATCCTAGATGAGCAATGAATGATGAAAGAGGACCTTCAGGGAGTGGATATGTGAGCGTAAGGCCACAATCTCTACAGTGACGCCCTTTTTCATTAAGGGATCTATTGCTTGAGTAGATACAAATACACAATTTTGCATTCATTTCCCTTATTTCAGCTCGTACGGTGAAACATCCAGCTAGCCATCATCAGTCACGCGACCCTTCAGGAGCCAGTGTACTGTACTTGGTTCCAGAACCCAGTTAACTTCCCTTTTCAACACAGCCTTATCCCAGCTCGTCCAGACAGCATCTATAGCCCCAGACTATAAATATTTTCCAGCAGGGTGGTTTTTCACATCATGAGTGACCAGGGGGCGTTTTTCGGCCAGAAGAAAACTCCACAGCTTCATACACAGACGAGGAGTCGCAGCCGATGGAAACGGCAATACATCGGATCCTGAGGCTGGGTCCCTTGATGCCTTCATTTGCCACTAAACAGTATTTTCCTTAGCTAGCAATAGGTATTTCTTTATGACCCAGCCGGCCTGCCTGTTTTTCCCCCCATAAAAGACACATCTTGTTCTTTCTTTGAAGACCCTTCCTGCTTCGCCGCCTGGGAAAAATATTCCTACCATGCTACTCGGATTCCGGATCCATATTGGGAAGGTAAAAAATGGGTAATAGATTTGCCCCTTGCCTAGCCTCGAATCACCTCGTGTGAAAGTTAATTTTATCAGGAGTCCAGGCAACATCGTACTGTATTCCATTTGAAGCCCTCTCGTGTTTTCCCAACAAGTTCTTCCACCTTTTTTTTTTAAATCAGGAAAAATAAAATTAGGGAGAAAATATAGCATATAGTCATACCACATACCTTCATTTGTAGCACAAGCAACCCCTCTGTCTTGAAGCATCTTTAATCTTGGTTATACTGTGAAAATTCACAAAAGATGCCTTCAAAATTTGCCGTATTGCCTAGGAAGGGACATTTTTAAATAGCTCTAAAAGAAAGAAAGAAAAAATGGAGGATGTATTTAAGATGGAGAAGCAGTTCCTCCCCTGGACAATTTATTTAGTACCAAAAAAAATCTGATTAAAGATCCTCTCTAGGACCTTAGATACAGTCATTCAGCCTTATCTTTGTTATCTCCACAGAATGTTTTATGATGTTATTCTGTCTCCAAGGCACAGCTAAACCTGATGTCAGATATGACCTTCACGGCAGCCATGAACACGATCCAGATGCTATGGAACAGTCGCTGCTCCTCTTCCTCTTCCTTACACACGCTGATCCATTTCAGGACAAGCCGACGTATAATTTCTGTACATACAGCTGCATATATCTGTACATTGGTGGGTGGGTGGGTGGGTAAGAGAGTTTTAGCTGCTTTTGGAACAATTTGCATTCTGGGGTCTAGCCAGAGAGGATGCAGAGGAAAATGTATAGCATAACGAGGAATCAGGAATTCATTAAAGCATTCTCTTCCCTGCCCTTAATGGAAAGGGACTGGGACGAGACCATTTCCCAGTATCAGAAGCCAGAAAGCAGAGAGGGCAAATAAATTAAGCTTTCATCTACACCTGAGGTAATGTTTACTCCTTGCTAAAATGCAAACCCCACCCAGATGTGGTTGTCAGGACACTCATGGCTATGATTGAGGTTTCTAATTCAAGTGGAAACAGGGAGACGACCAGAAAAATGAGGTTTTTAAACACCACCCTGGATGACCATTTGGCAGTGACTGCTAATGAATACTTGCACACATTTAGAGCTTAGGGTGCTAGGAATCAGAGCCCAAAATGAGTGCTCACTTGTGGTTTATCAATGTGTATCTCTTTCCCCCCTACTCACATGTAATCTTTTGACCTTTTCACTCTACAGGCGACCGGCAAATCATCCTATCCCATCTCTCCTCTATTCTCTTGTGCAGCAAGCAGACTGTGAAAGATGCTCTGCAGGGGGTGATTTCTGGCCTCTTGGAGCAACACCGCCGAGCAGCCCAAGTGAGTGATTAAGGACCAACAAAAACCGGTGGATATTGGGCCAAGGCTTGGGCAGATGGAATGGGAATACTTCAGAGTACAACTCTCAATTTTATTATTATTATTATTTTGGTTAAGTTCAGATTAGAGGTTTGTCTCTGGAGACGTGTGATAGTTCAGTTCTAAAACAGCAACCCTCGTTAGAATACAGCAGACCTGACACGAGTTTCTTTGGGTCTTGTGAAAGGGGTGGCGTGCAAGCGCCCGGATTCATTGCAAGGCTCTTGTTTGTTCACAGGAGCAGCAGAGAGTGGCCCATGCGTTGCCCATCATGGCAGAGGCCGTTTCCTCCATAGTTTCAAGCAGTTGCGACAGTGAGTTCAGAAGGAAGTGCCTCCAAAGTTTGCAGGTAAAACTGAACTGATATTCTTCCTATATGTCCTCGTAACAATGCATTGAACTCACTAGGTCAGCAACACAAGGGCCGTGTCAGTACGTTTAGGGCAGGAGAGTAAAATGTTCTCAGACTGTTCTCTGAATTGACTCGAAGACTTGGACGGTTATGTAGAAAGAGGGAGGGATGAAACAAGAAAATCTTCAGACTGAAAATGCAAACCTACGAGAAGATGAAGAATCCTGGGTCAGATCCATGACGTAGTGTGGGTTGCAAGGCATATAAGACAGTAATTCCCTCTCATGGGTCCCCAGATGTTCTTGGACTACAACTCCCACAAGCCTTCACCCCTAGCTGTGTTGGCTAGGATTTCTGGAAGTTGCCGTCCAAGAACATCTGGGTGCTCAAGGTTGAGGGACACTGAATAAAGCGAAGGGAGGTGTTTGCCTTTAATACATTTGCTAAGTGAAAGAAGTGATATTAAATGGATTTCCAAGCCACTCATCGCCTCACACATTTAAGATATAAATTTTCAGAAGGATGCAGCATCTGCACGGTCTTTTGTTATATATCCTGATCTGTAGGTTTCAGATACCCATGAGCTTCAGCTAACCCTCAACGAGAGCTTCAGCAAAGTCATTCTTCAGCTGTGGAAGCCCAGCAGCACGTGTGACATTCGAAAGGCAAGCTTCTCTTTCGATGCGCTCTTCCTGTCCCGCCGTTTCTCCTCTCTATTGACCTTAAGGACATAGGCAGGAGGCTAATCCTGTTTCATTTAGCCCCCAGTACTGCCTACACTAAGAGATGACTGTAGCATCCTTGGCGGTTAGGCAGGGCTGTTTCCCCTAGCCTTACCTAGAGAAGGCAGGCAGGAAGGGAAGAACTTTTTCCATGCAAAGTATGTGGCCTCCCACCGATCTGTGGACACCCTGATTGTTAAACAGCTGATCTGCTAAAATAATGAACACCAGCACCGATCTCTGTGGGGCAACTTCTAGAGTCTTCATAATCTTTGTTGATTTATAATTTCTTGTAGATAGGAGGCCTTGGTGGGCCGGATTCAACTCCCACCTTCACCTCATGGGGGGGGAGTTGTGGAAATGGCATGTCAAGGTGCTTCGCCTCAGTTTTCCTTCCTGTAAAAAATGGATCCAATCATACAGTGATTGGTTTTATGGGTTTCTTGTGAGGACAGATCAAGGTGTGTGTGGGGGAACAACACAGTTACCACCTAGTCTCTCACTCCAAGTGGTAGCAAGTCTGGCCTGCCAAATGGCTTTGCTGTGCCTCAAGAGTTCATAGCCCTGTTGTTGGTCTAATATAATTTGTCTTCTTAATTTCCGGGCAGCCGTTGCCTAAAAATGACAAACCAGGGCATCTGAGTATTGAGAAGGACGTGCCTTCCGACCAGCAGACGTCGCCCTCCACCATCGGTTTAGCAGGACTGGAACAAACAGGGAATGAAAGCTGTGGAAAAGAAGGTAGGATGTGGAGCCGTGTGTATTTAAACACACAGGTTGGCCGATTCCTGAGTCCCAATGCGAGATTCCCCCAATCTTGGCCCTTTCTGTTCCGCCACTGATTTGACCAGGAAGCCTTGCCAGAAATCTCAGGCGAGCCACTCGCTTGAATCCCAGCCACCTAAACAAGGCATCAAATAATCAACCATCACTTCTTTTACACAAAGTGCTAAACTCATAGCCCTCTCATCATTAAATGCTTGTCATTTTGAAAATAAAATGTCCTTGGTTGTTTTCAAAAGAAACATTTGGTGGGTGGGCGGGAGAACAGCAAAAAAAAAACCCCAAAAAATAACAACACAAAAAACCACAAATAATTGGGACATTAACTGTTTGCTTCATCCCTGTTCTAAACCCCACAGGATTAACACTCCCTTAGCTAGTCAGCCCTATAATAAATCAATTGTCTTGGGTAACCCTCTGGAAGTGGTAGGTCAGCATGGCTATGGTTGGAGCTGATAACTCTGCATCAGTCTCTTAGGAATATTATCTGCATTGTGGGTGCTGGGAGATATTAATAATTCTGCCACCCCCACACCTATGTAGTGGCTGCAATGCAATGTGTTGCTTTTTCTTCAGCTTCTACAATGTGGAACAACAGCGTGGCTGCTACCTAAACGAAGCAATGATCTGTTTAATGGAGGAAGGCCGATATTAGTGGGTGGTCCCAGTTTGTTTTAAAAATTTGCCCTCCATTTTGGCCCACGAGGAGCCTCGATACCATTAAAATCGAACAACAAAAAGATATGTAAAATAGTACGACGTTGCTATTGAAACGTGCGAAATGAAGTAACAATAGCAACCCTACAGCTAGCTAAAACACCAACAGAGTACAATTCAATGTATTCTCTAAGGCTTTCAAGGCCGGGATCCGATGGTGGTTGTGGGTTTTTCGGGCTCTTTGGCCCTGTTTTGAAGGTTGTTCTTCCTAATGTTTCACCAATCTCTGTGGCCGGCCTCGGCTCTTTGGCCGTGTTCTGAAGGTTGTTCTTCCTAACATTTTGCCAGTCTCTGTGGCCAGTATCTTCAGAGGACAGGAGTAGCACAGTAAGCCACAGAGATTGGTGAAACATTAGGAAGAACAACCCAAAGAGCCTGAAAAACCCACAACCACCATCAGACTACAATTGGTTCTTGAAATTTTATATAGGTGATGAAAGAGGAACGTTTCAACCTTTTTGTGAAATGACTGTTAAAGTGCAAGCTCAGCGGGTCCCAGAAAAAAAAAAGGAGAATTTTCCAAAGCATTGCTAAAGGGAGTGGGCAAACTCAGCCTAATTTTCATGCCACCACCTTATCAGAAAAGCATTCTTTAAACATTCAGTCTGGACCTTTTGGTAAAAGCCGTCTGTTCCTTTTCTGCAACCACTTGTGCCGGGACGGAGGGGTGTGTGTGTTAATAATGAAAGGGGGGAAAAAGACAATAGAGGAAACCACTCCGTTTTTGGAATCTCTCTTGCTGAGTGCTGGCCGTGGAACTGCCCACCACGTGGTGCAATCCTCAGCAGGAAAACCCTGACCGCATCGCTATCATCAAAGATACCAATCCTGTCTCAAAAGGCTGAGGGATACAGATCATGCCTTTGCCAGATGTTTTAAAGTCAGAGACGGGCAATATCGGAGGTGTCTTTGAGGGAACACGAGGCCAGGGCCTTCTCTGTGGCTGCTCCCAGGGGGTGGCACGCTCTCCTTCCCTTTTATTCTTCTGCCAACAATTGAAGACTTGGCCTTTTCGGGCAGGCCGTTCATCATGATGACAGGGTCCCTAGATGCTGGTTATTTTTGGTTTTCTAAGCTGGTTTTAGAGGTTTTTATTAAATGTGTTCCCCCCTTTATTATCAGACATTTTGTGCTTTCGGTATTATTTGTTTTAACGTCGTGAACTCCCTGGGGACTCCCTCCCTCATGTTGAGAAAAAGCAGCCTACAAATGGTAGTAAATAAATACATAAATAAATAAATTGCCAGATAGCTCGGTGGTTTAAGGATCTGGCTGTGGAGCCAGAAGTCAGGAGTTCGAATCCTGCCCGCCCGCCCGATCCCAGGGGCCTCCTTGACAGGGGCTGGACTTGATGACCTCGAGGGTCTCTTCCAGCTCTGCAGTTCTTAAAATATCTAGGTCTTGCTGTGAAGGTCCCGCACCCCTTGACAGGGGCTGGACTTGATGACCTCAAGAGTCCCTTCCAGCTCTGCAGTTATTATTAAAATATCTACGTCTTGCTGTGAAGGTCCCGCACCTGCATCACGCATGATGGTGTGTCACAAGTCCTCAATTGACATTCTAAATGAATGTTGTGAGTGTGTGAACAAACGGGAGCGATACGCAGTTTGGTAGATGTGACTGTACAAGGGACTAACTGAGGTTTGTTTGACTGTCTGGGAAGGGTGTTTAAATGGAGTACAGTATTCTGCTTTGTTTCTTTGTATCTGTTGTTGGTGTTGCTTTCATTTCCAGTTTTAGGGTGAAATTTGTTTTGACTCCTTCAAATATTTGTATACTTACTGTTTCTAGCTTTGATGTATTCCATCTGAAGGATGTAATCCACCTTGAGCCTTTTTTTTAAAAGGAGAAAAGTGGGGTGGAAATATTTTTAAATCTATAAATACCTAATTGTTCAAATTTCACAGTAAACAAATGGCAAGAGGCCCTGTGATTTCCCCATGAGCATCCTGGCCCTGGTGAGTCTTATTTTATTTTTTTGCTTTTGCTCTGCAGGACTCTCGTCTAACAGATCCGAAATGGGAGGAATAAGCAGGACCAGGAAGAGGAGGAGCCGAAAACACAGGGAACTTTCTGAGGAGGATTCAGGAGATTCGGGGGCCTCTGAAGAGGCCAAGAGAAAGAGAGACGCCGGAACCAGCCCTGAAGCTTTACCGTGTGAAAACCTCGTGGAAACCTCGTGGCAGGTTTGTCAGTAAGCCTTTCCTCGTCAAAGCCTTAAAAGAGAACAGAAAAGCCCACTTCAGTTCGTAATCATGACGCACTTAACCAGGAGCTGTGGGGAGAATGCTGCCACCCCCCCTCCTATATGTGGAGACCGGCGGGGGTAAAGGGGAGAGCCACTCCTGTTTGTGGAGATCCCCGATAAAAGCCAGGAGGCTGGTTTTTCAGCATCTTGGCTTAGGTAGAGAGCTTCCATGGATAGGAGAGGATTTTTCACTTCAAGGTGGTCAGACTTCCAGGCTTATGAGGACAGTGACACCGGGAACGGAAGGGGTGGGCTGGACTACGAGCTACCTGGTAGAGCTGGTCCCAGCTGGAACTGGGTTTACCAGGTTTTAGCCTGGGAGCCTGCTTTGAAGATCACAACTCTACAATATAGGCAGTTCCATACCCAACGCTCAACTGGGCTCTCCTCCACCATGGGCTGGGGGGGGAAGGGCTCAGCGTGCCCACAGGCTATGGATATTCATCGGGCTGGGGGGGGAAGGGCTCAGCGTGCCCACAGGCGATGGATATTTATCGACTTATTTGAAATATTTTTACCCCGCCTTTCTCCTTTAAAGGACCTGAGGCGGCTTATGTCATTAAAAGACAGTATTAATGCTAAGTGTACGAATAGTAAAAAGGATCAAAGAGATACTGTAAGTGACACTAAAATACACTCGAAGCAGTTTAGGGGCACGACAATCCATTAAAAAAACCCCACGCAGGCAGCTCGTCCCTCGGGGAAAACGTTGCTTGCCAAAGGAGTGTCAAGATGGGGCCAGCTTGGCCTCCAGTGGCAGGGAGTTCCCAAGTCTGGGGGCAGCAATCTGGCTCCTGCATCTTGGACCCACTGAAGTTTCCTGTTAAAACTTGTTAAAACTTTCGGTGCCATTTAAGGAAAAGAACAAAACATTGTTCTTCTATCAGTGCAAGAACCCAAGAAGTTCTGAGTTCCAAAAAGCTTAAGAGGTTTTAATGACAGCTTGGAAATCTGCAAAAAAAGGCTTCTCTCTGGGGGGGGGGGCTTCCAGAGGGATTTGGGGTTTGGCTCCTCTGGAAGGTGGGAAGGTGTGTGTGTGTGGGGGGGGTATCCATATTTTCAGCCACTGAATACATTTCTTTCTTTTGCAGGACGATGACTTTTGGGATCGGGAGGTCTCGAACTTGGCTGAGTGGACACCCTGAGAGGGTCCAGTTGGGAGAAGCAAATGAAAAAACGTTGCGGGATTTGGGATGCCCTATAAAAAGTGGACAGTCCTCCCCCCCCTCGCTCTCTCCGGCCCCTTTGATGACCCAGAGGACTCAAGAGAGAGCAGCTCCACAGCTCCGGCCAATAAATCCACCCCCCCCCCTTTTACAGCCGATCCAAATACCGATGAAACTCTCTTCCCCCGCCCTTTGCCAAGCGGGAGGGGGGCAGCTGCCCGGGGGGGCCGCCCTGAGTGTGGCTTCGCTTGTGAGTGTCTGTGCGTGCATGTACAGAAAAATCAGAAGGGGAAACGGCGTGGGAAAACTCCCGGGGCTTTGCAAGAAAAAGGCAACGGGCAGCCCCCGCCGAAAGCTCCCGGGGGGGGGTTCCGAGGGGGGGACCCTAAAGGGGAACCTGGAATCAAGGCGACCCCGTCCATGCG